ACACTGCCAGCCGCGTCACGAAAGAAACTACACCAGCAACAACCCAAACATCCGACCGGCCAATCGAGTCAAGGAGAGATACTACACTCAGGGTCGGTCTAATTAATAATAAAACACGCACACGTGCAGCATACGAGTTCTCGAATTCGAGATGAAGGGGAAGCGTGCACAACTGTATAAGCTGATTTCGTTGGGCTTAATGGACCCCTCCTCGATACGAGAGAATTGGGCCGAGATATCCTGTGGTATTGCGTATTAACCTACTACGGGCGATTGAGTGCAAAGGGGGGTATGTGTAACCGTGTGGTACAATTTTGTGGGCATAGGAGGTGGTTTTCTCTTCTTACCTCGTATAAATTTTTCTTGGTACGTTTGAAGTACTGCGTAGTGGTCTCTCGTTATTTCCTAGAGATTCATGTTCGACTTTTCGCTAGCTCGTTCTGTGGAACTTTGTTTATCTTTTTTTTTTTTTTGTTTTTTTTGTTTTTTCGGAGGAAAGGCTAATGGTTGTATTTTGCGTTCATAGAAATGTTGCGCAATATTATTCTCCGCTGTGGAGGAGAAAGAAAAATACAGGAAAAAAAGTTACTAGTAAGTGTATACATACCCACACATAAGCATTTGTATGGCAAAGCTGCGAAGTTTCAACGAGCGAAACGTTCGCCACGTGCACGATGGAGGGGAGTTGTGGGGGGCCGAAGGGGGGGGGGCAAAAGTTTAAAAGAAAGGAAGCAAATATAGGGGAGATAAAACGAAAGCCACGGTCGAGCGAAATTTATTAGTGCCAAGTATGTTGGTGCAGTGAGGGGCGAAAAGGCGAGGGCCGAGAACTTACGCTTGTAATGGCGAAAAAAAAAAAAAACGAAAAACAAATCGACGTGTGCTGTTGGAGATGTGCTGCGCGTTTGTAAAGTTTGTAAGCTTTCGATGAATAACAAATATATATGTTGAGCTTTCTACTGGAATCGATTGGGTTGACTTGAACATCAACACCTTGTAATTTACGTAAATTTCACTTGTCTGATACTGACACTAACAATGTACTTTTGGACTTATCACCTCCTCGTTGAAGTCATAGCGAGGTTCACTTAATTTTTTCAGATGACGTGATACTAGGGCACAATTACTTTATGGATTTTTAAACACTGAGAAAGAAAACTTTTTTTATTTTCTGAACAAAATCATGATAATTGCCATTATGATCAACTTTATATTGCTCGAAATAATAATCATAAAAAGAAAATAATTGATGACGATTTCTTGGTCGAATGAAGCATATTTTATTGACAAAACGAATCTGCACTACTAAACACACAAAATGTTTTTAAAATTATTAATTTTTATCAAATATCCAGTTCTCTTGAATCGTGTCCATGATAAATTTCCGAAAGTTGTCTCACCATACACATGTACAACGCGCCCAAACTGTTGTCTCCACAACCCTTACGTGAATAGGATAATACAAAGAGGAGGAATCGCGAAGTAACGCGGTTTTTTGCTTTTACCAAAAACTCGTCAGGTATACCTATATGTGTATACACCTGCAATGCTTTTTCTCTCGCGGGTACGGGCATTATTTACGACGACGACGCAGCACTTTGCGTACATCTCTCCACCGTGCGTACAGTAAACATTACACTCGCGATAATGGTTTCTTCCCTCCCTCCTTGGCTGATGTACCTATGTATATATACATATATACAGTTCGTTTTGCCTTTTATTTTTCTCTCCCTTCTCTCGCGTCTCCTACCTATACACTTCGTCTGCGCTTCATCTTCTAATGTACGTATATTTTTCACTCACAACAAAAAAAAGAAGTATTTCTTAAAATACAAAACTCGTAAAACTCACCTCCAATATTGGAATACAGCGTGTATGTGTATGTATTTTTTTTGCAACAGCAGTATACACACTTAACATAATTCCCCAGACGACCAGCTCGTAACTCTTTTTTCCGTTTCAGAGCGGCACCCACAGCCGTACCCCTTTTTTCTCTCTGGGTAATGCGATGATTTTATCTGCTTTATAAATGGTAGTACCAGCCCCCCTCGCCCCCCAAAGCTTACGACGTTATTGGCAGTAAGGTCGGGCGCGTAGAATCGATTTGAATAAAAAAAACGCGCGGCTATCTCTCAATACTTTATTATTCCTGCTTTCGGATGCTTTTGCTTCGACGATGGAGCCGGAAAGGGGAAAAAAAAAAACAATTTTCTTGTTCGATGAAAAAAAAAAAAATCTTAAATAAATTAAGAGGGTGCCATGCACGTATAGTATACGTATCTGTATTTTAGTTAGCTCGAGGCTCGAAAATATTTTCCAAAATCCGCACGTACACGCGCAAGTTGTGTCGAACTGTCTAAAGCGCGATATTTATACCAGAAGGGAAGGATGTGAAATTAAAGTTTGCCCCTATATTGTTTGACCGATTGTAATCAATGCTGGGGCGAAGTTTCGAAACTATATCGCGTGGAAAGTTTCTTCTTGCTCGGGAAAGTTAATGTATCGCTTCGATTTTCATTAGTAGTAGCTGATTAGTTGCCGTCGATCACACCCAATGAAATATATACATGAGGCTTACCTTATAACCACGCGCTAGTCTATATATATGTACGACAAGGTTTGCAATCTATTTTCGATATAAACGGAAAGTAACGAAGTAATTCTGACGCACGATCAAGAGGGAAAAAAGAAAAATACAACTTATAGGTACAGCAAAAAAAAGCAAGACGTACACACGAAAATCGTTACGAGGATGGTGGTGGAAATTTTTTTCAAAATAAATTAAACCAACGGGAGACTCGAACGCAACAGTTCGATTCCTCGAGGGAGCAAACTCCGCAATACCCCGGGAGGTTCTTTATCTCGGTCTTTTGTATGTGTTAACGGCTTTGGAACGTAATTGTTTTGAAATTGACGGGGGATCAATGGTGTATTGTGTTGACAGTATGTGTATATATACCAGAGCTTCTGTAACTGAAAGTGCAAGGGGGCGTGTATACGTACACCCACTTTGTACAGTCGTCGAGGCAACTGCGGGGACTTGCGCAACTCGCAAATGCAGATTCTCATTCTGTTCTGTGCAGCTGAGCACGAAATAACAAGGCTGATACAATACCATGGAGTACAGTGAAAATTAGTTCGTTGGGTTGTTATTATTGTTATGAACCATTTCGACGATGGAGATTCTATGAAAAAAAAGAAGATAAAAAAGTTACGGTAGTTCTCGCAAAGGCGGTCCGGTGCTTTTCATTATTTCACGGATTTTTGACTTTTATATGAAACTTTTCGCTGCCTCGTTGCAAAAAATTGCTCATTTCGCACTCGTATATAGCAGCAGAGCCGAGAGCGTCAGCCTGCGCCAGCTTTTCATCTTTACGATACTGAGAACATAATACTGATACGGCGTCTCTACTGCTGCCACCGAACTTTACTGTTTCATTTTTTTTTTTTTTTTTTTTTTTTTTTTTTGCCCTTTCGAGAAATAATCTCGCGTATCACTTATCNCTTTATTTTATATACGCAATTTTTTTTTTACTTTCAAAATGCACTTAAAATTTCCATTTGTAATAAAGTTTCGTTGTCAAAAAATAACGATCCACACTCCTTTTTTTTTAATTCTATACATTCTTCCTCTCACCTACGCAGGTACAACATGATCTCTCTCGCTCATATATTTTCGCTTTTTTTCCATGCACTCACAGCTGCACGTCCCCCACTACTGCACCACCAGAGAACCTTTCTTCGCAGCAACGAATGACTCCTATCTCTCTTTCTCGTCTACATGTACGGACACAAAATTCTCCTCCTCTCCCTGTACACGACTCCAACAGTATGACTCGCGCGTCCACTTTGGCAATCGAGATAAACCTAACCTGCTCCTTTTCAGATTTAATAATTACAAGCTGTGGTTTTTATAGTACCCAAGTACTTCGTCCAAAATTTCCACTTCATTGTCCTTCAACAGTTCAAATACATCGTATTTGACGAATCTATACTATTGAAGATGTAGTTCCGTGAATGAGTGTCAGTGCACATTTATACAGTTGGCCTTTGTTCGCGAGCAGTGCACGGATGCTATCGACCCCAATTTTCCTTTTTTTTCCCCTTGTATTTTTCCTGTAATTAATACCGATAAAAATAGAAAAAAATCACATATCGTGGACGTGTGGAATGATGAACAATTTTTTTTTTTTTTTTTTTTTTTCCATTATCATTTTCACTACGTGAAAAGGGTATATTTCAGTCGACGACTGTTACGAAATTTCTCTTACATGGCGTAACGCGAGAACTTGAGAATAAAAAAAATTTATTATCCAAGGATACCGTTGCGTAAAAATTTTATTCGAGCACGTTGAGTAAAAGGTTGATGTATACATATACATACTCGATCAATTGGCACCATAGATTTTACACGAGTCGCTCCAAAAACAGCAAAGTCGTTAACATTTTATGGGTGAAAACCTACTGTCTAACCTACACGCGAATGCCACATTTTCGCAAAAAGTACGCCGGACTTTTTTTTTTATCGCTCGGTGCCCGCGTGTTTGTCATTTTTAATTTCCAACTGTGGGGAAAAACTGTATATACGTACGCGTCCCCCCCTCCCTCGCGTTTTCCATTAAATCTAATGCGCCTCGGGGACAACCATATACATATATGTATACATACGGTACAAAGAGGGAAGGGCCAATGAATTTTCGTGCCCGGCGTAACGATGTCCCCCGGCTGATTGACTCTCGTTAAAATGACTAATTCACCGCTCCCCCCTCCCCGCGTATCTATTTTGCGCTAGACAACAATTTACAATAATTAAATAACACCCGGCAAACCAATTTACTACCCCTGTGATGATGACGAAATTCACTATGCATACACATACACATGGGCGTTGATTATATAACAAAATAAATGACATGTTTTTATGCTAATGTATCTGTAAAATTAATGGCACGCAGTAATGAAGAAAAGAAAAAAAAAAAAAAAAAAATTGTTGCCACCAGATGTCCTGACAGCGGGCCCCGGGCCAGCAGGATGCCGACAGACGACGACTATGGCCGAAGAGAACGTCTCCTGTTGCACCAGCACCCCCCGAACGGCGCCAGTAGCGGCCAATACGGCCAACAGCAGTCACGCCCGGCATCATCACCGGGAAGCGGCCCGCCAATCGGCCCCTCGGATTGTTACCACAAGCACCACCACCACCACCATCACCACCTCCACCACACCGAACAGTCACAACCACCGAGCCAACAGCATGACTACGGACGCCAACTCCTCGCCGAGCACTACCACGGCTACCAGCCCCAAAAACCCCCGGCCTCCGCAACCGGCATCAACGCCAACAACGGTGGCACCGCCAACAGCTCCGAGTACGCCAACATCAGCAGCCCTGGCTCCTCGACCTCGCCACCAACGACCGGCAGCCACAACACCACCACCACCACCACCACCACGACCGGCAATCCCTTCTCGGCCGAGACATTTCCGTCGCCACCCTCGCCGGCCCCAGCTTCCGACCGGTTCGTACCCCCGCCACCCCTGTCGCCCGGCTCGGCCGACAAGTACGCCTCCTCCCAGTCTCTGGCTGGCTACCACGCTGCTGATCGCCTGCTGGCTGCCACCGCGGCCACCCGCGAACTCTACGCCACCCAGTCCAACAAGGACCCCCAGCGCGGCAATGCCTCCGGGTCCTCCTCGTCCTCCTCGTCGTGCTCGTCCACGTCGTCGTCATCCTCGTCAACCGTCGGCGGCACCAACTCCTCGGCCTCGCCTGGGCTGCGTTTCTCGAGCGAGCGCCTCCTCGCCAACTCCTCGCCCACTCCGGGAGGTGCTACCTCGGGTGGTAAAATCGTGGGGTTCAAGGATGGCTCGTCGCCCCTCCACGAGGCCTCATCGGTGCGCTACGGCCACCACCACGTGCACCAGAAGCACGACAGATACGGGTGCGCTGAGGTGTCGCACCAGCAGCAGCAGCAGCAGCAGAGGTACTCGTCGAGCGAGAGGATACTCGGGCTGCCGATCGGTGAGCCGGTCCATCAGGGGAGNTTTAAAAATATATATTTGTATTTAAAATTTTTCATTTATTCATTACGACTTTACTCACCCAGCTTGGGCTATCGCAATAGTAATTTTAAGAACGTAGGTAATAGATTAATGAAATGAAGAAATTAATCAACCTATATCTGTACACTTGAGAAAACTAGATAACATTGTTATCGTTTTTTTTTTTTTTTGACATTTTTATGCTATTGCGACAAAAAATCGTTTCCCAAATAATTAAAGTTTCGTTGCCGCGACCTCTCAATACTTCTTTGTAAGCCATTTAATTTTAAAATTTTACACAATAAGTATGCACAGTTGTTCTACATTTTTTTATTTATTAAAAATGTTCGATTACCTCTAACAAAATTGAATAGCATGTGGGTTGTTTTAAGGTACCCAAATTAATTGTTATATAGCCTTCATTCACTGATAACATATCATTCAAATAACATTCAAGCTAGTTTTTTTAATTTCGGGATCCACGGACTAAAAATTTGTATTTATAATTGTAAAAATTGTACATATAAAGCAGAAGTTTTAAAACTCAAATTTGCAAAGGTATCTAGATTATATAAAATGAAGTTCTTTAAAACTTAAATTTTGCAATCAGGGCACATAAGATATCTAACATTTACAACCCTTACATTATTGGAGTAAGTGCCACACTTTATGCAGACTCCGTCCACCTTCTTGGATTCCACACTGACCGGTTTATCATTTCTGTTGTTGCCATTGTTCTTCTTCTTCTTGCAGTGAATGCAAAACATGTTGTAGCTATATTATCTTAACAGTCACACTATTACCAGGATTATTTCAGGAGTTTTCTGTTGACAAAAAACCATCCTATGCTCATCATTTTGTTAAGGACTTTGACCTGTAGTTATACGACCATAACTTCTAATATCGTTATAACACGCTCATAATCACAATTTCCGTAGACACTCGCAGCATCTCATAGCCATTTTACCTTTAACTATTTTATCATACAATCTTATCAATAGATGAATGCACAAACAAATAATATATCGTTGCCGATTAATTGGTGTTGATTTATACTTGATACTCAATATATTACAATGTGAATTTTTTCGTTACATTAATGGCTAGATACCACCGTATATTTTTTTTAACTTTCGTCGTTTTCCTCAATTTTTTATTTTTTAAGATTTATATTACCTATTTTGTAAAANGTAAAATCGTGGGGTTCAAGGATGGCTCGTCGCCCCTCCACGAGGCCTCATCGGTGCGCTACGGCCACCACCACGTGCACCAGAAGCACGACAGATACGGGTGCGCTGAGGTGTCGCACCAGCAGCAGCAGCAGCAGCAGAGGTACTCGTCGAGCGAGAGGATACTCGGGCTGCCGATCGGTGAGCCGGTCCATCAGGGGAGGCGCTACTCGACGGATCATCCCAAGTACGGGGCGGATCATCAGGATTACGCGTCGAGGGGCTTGCAGATTTATCAGGAGGCGCAGAGGTACGCGAGCGATAGGTTCGGCGAGCTCACGCTGCAGAGGTACGCGGCGAGCGTTCAGAGCAGGTACGGGGGCAACGAGAGGTACTTGGCTGCGGCTGCTGTCGGGGATGGAAGACCTGCGGCGGAAAGGTGGGTCCTTTTTTTTCTTCGTCACTTGGTTCGTTGGGGTGGCGTTTCTCCTTGACCAAAATGTACGAGCTGCCGGAGTAAAAACAAGTTTTGCTTCAATGCCATTTTGCCTTTAAATGTTGAATAAATCATTTACATGATATATGCTGAACGCTTTTTTTCCCAACAACGCCACGTATGAAATATTGGTTGATACAAAGAGAGAAAAAAAAAGTGTATTTTTAGAAGATCTGCAATTTTTTTATTGAAAATTTTGTCTTCAATTTGTGTAATATCATTTTTTGGCCGATTTTGAAGCGATTTTTACAATTTTGAGTATTAAGTAAGGCACCGTACGATTTTTGGCCATTTTAAACGATTTTTGCCGATTAAATCGTTTCGACGGCATTTTAGAGAAAAACTTAAAATACAAAAAGTTTTGTTTTAATAAGCTGTACATTTTGTTGTAGAATTTGTACTTTTGTATTTTTCATTACAGAACGTCTGCATTGCAAAACATACAGTGTAAAAAAAGAGTTAACAAAAAAACAAAAACGTGTAAAATGTATGTACTTATTAAAATTTAAAGCGAAAGAACCTGTTTTTTTTTTTTTTTGTGCTACAGTTAAAATTCTGACAAAATATTCTTTTCTCTCACAAAAAGTGTCCAAATTTGAACCATTAGCTTAGACATCCAACTTAAAACTACAAAAAAAAAAAAAAAAAAATTCAGTTCCATTTGTTCCAGCAAAATTACAAGGCACGTGAAAAAGACAAACCTGCCCGCACATACAGGATTATGAGCACTATATACCAACTCGATTTCTTTCACCAGGTACGCGTGCAACTCGTCGACGGAGCGCCTGCTAGCCTCCTCGTCGTCTCCGTCGCTCACCGAGACGCCAAGCGCGACGATAGCGCGAAACTCCCAACAACCGCAGCAGCAACAACAAATTTTCAACCCTTCCGGGATCGGCAGCAACAACCAGCCAACCCCAAGCTCGGCCGAGTCGAGCGGACGCTTCGGCGCTTTCTCGCCCACCCCGAGCGACCTACTGTCCGCCAATCCGTCCGGCCAGCAGCACAAGGTCAGCTGCCACCTGCAGCAGTCTTCCAAGAACCAGCAGCAGCTGGCGAAACCGACGATCGGCCAAAGCTACGGGCCGACCGGCAGCTACGACCACTTGGCCATTACCTCCTCCACCGGACAACAACAGCAGCAACAGGTGGCGGCCTCGAGTAGTTACGGCCTCGACAGGTTCGCCTGCGCCGAGCGTTACCACTGCGCCACGAGCGAGCGCTACTCCCCCGCCCGGCTGGCCGTCGACAAGTACCTCTCCCTACCCAAGCCCAAGGACCGTTACGCCAGGGCCTCGAGCTCCTGCGCCCCCAACGTAGCCTCCAACGCCTCGGAGCGCAGCTACCTCTCTTCGAGCGGCACCTACGTGCCCCCTGCGGCCCACACGCCCGTCGAAAGGTCAGTATACTCGACAGTCAAAGATGAAGAAGGAAAATAACACCCCCTCCCCCCGCCTACTTGTGTGTCTTTGTTGCACAGGTACGTGCCGCAGCCGCCCCCGGAGGTGCTCTACCCGGAGCGCTACGCCGAGCGCTACGTGCCCCCGAGTGCCCATACCCCGGCCGAGCGCTACGTACCCGCGAGCGAGCCGACCGGCGTCGTCGACTCGTACCCTCGCTTCGGCCAATCGCAACAACAGCAGCAATACAGGCCCAGTGGTAGTAGTAGCAGCAGCAGCGTGACCAGTAGCACCGGGGCGACGAGCGCGTACGGCTCGTACACGGGGGGTGCGGCGCATTTCCGGCTGCGGGGCTTCAGTTACCAGTCGCCGGGTCGTTTGGGTGGTAGCCCAAGCTCGAGTAGCTCGAGCAGCTCGACGGCGAGTCAGAGGGACACGGGCGCCGGGGCGTACTCGACCTCGCCCCTGCTCAGGACGAAGGCGTCACGGGCGGCCGAGGGGGGGTTTGGGCCCACGGCCTGCTGCGTCGACGCGTGCTCGGCAGGACACGGGAGGACGGGGTGTTGTCAGAGGCGCTCGGTGCCGCCTGGCGCCCTGCCCACCGTGCCCCAACAACCACCCGGACAATCATCCTGGTGAGTACGCGCGTGTTTTGTGTGTGTGTGTTTATATGCAGCGTTGGATCAAAAAAAAAGTACCTTTGTACTCGTGAGTTGCAGGAATGAAAAAGAGAAGGGAGGGGAACTTAATTGGAGGATAAATGCTGTGGCTTCTTTTGATTGTTGGGTAGTCGGCTGTTGATACTCACGGGGCTGAAAACTCATGCCTGGTGTTGTGTGTTTTTACGGCAAAAAGCAAGATTTTTCAGTGGCGCGTTTTGGATGACATTCAATAGGGTTTTTTTTTTTTCACCACCACGTGCACCAGAAGCACGACAGATACGGGTGCGCTGAGGTGTCGCACCAGCAGCAGCAGCAGCAGCAGAGGTACTCGTCGAGCGAGAGGATACTCGGGCTGCCGATCGGTGAGCCGGTCCATCAGGGGAGGCGCTACTCGACGGATCATCCCAAGTACGGGGCGGATCATCAGGATTACGCGTCGAGGGGCTTGCAGATTTATCAGGAGGCGCAGAGGTACGCGAGCGATAGGTTCGGCGAGCTCACGCTGCAGAGGTACGCGGCGAGCGTTCAGAGCAGGTACGGGGGCAACGAGAGGTACTTGGCTGCGGCTGCTGTCGGGGATGGAAGACCTGCGGCGGAAAGGTGGGTCCTTTTTTTTCTTCGTCACTTGGTTCGTTGGGGTGGCGTTTCTCCTTGACCAAAATGTACGAGCTGCCGGAGTAAAAACAAGTTTTGCTTCAATGCCATTTTGCCTTTAAATGTTGAATAAATCATTTACATGATATATGCTGAACGCTTTTTTTCCCAACAACGCCACGTATGAAATATTGGTTGATACAAAGAGAGAAAAAAAAAGTGTATTTTTAGAAGATCTGCAATTTTTTTATTGAAAATTTTGTCTTCAATTTGTGTAATATCATTTTTTGGCCGATTTTGAAGCGATTTTTACAATTTTGAGTATTAAGTAAGGCACCGTACGATTTTTGGCCATTTTAAACGATTTTTGCCGATTAAATCGTTTCGACGGCATTTTAGAGAAAAACTTAAAATACAAAAAGTTTTGTTTTAATAAGCTGTACATTTTGTTGTAGAATTTGTACTTTTGTATTTTTCATTACAGAACGTCTGCATTGCAAAACATACAGTGTAAAAAAAGAGTTAACAAAAAAACAAAAACGTGTAAAATGTATGTACTTATTAAAATTTAAAGCGAAAGAACCTGTTTTTTTTTTTTTTTTTT